AATAAAATAATACTTAAATAAAACTAATCAAAGCTTAGGAGCTAAAACGTCATTTCTAGGTATAAAATGTACATAGAAGTGACGTCACGCGACAGTTCAAATCAATATATCGTCGAAAGCATTCGTTTCCGTAAGAAAATAAAAAATACGTGTCTTATGATTTAAAATAATTTACCAGACGGACATTAAAATAAAAAGTAGGCATCTACCCTATTACGTTTAAATTTTTCTTTACATTTTTGTCCTGTATCGTGGGTGCGTTTACAAACGTACAAAGTTACATACTGTACACATCACACCTAGACCCGGAACAACACTCTGTGGATCACCAGCCCAGCCACTGCACCAACCGTGCAGTCAATTGAGTTAGTTTTGTTGCTAGGTGGACCAACGATATCGCCAGAGTTGCGAGGAGCCAGTGGATGCAGGTGGAGAGTTATCGTTCGACGTGGAGGATTAAAGCGGGCCCTTTGGAGTGGACGTCTTCCAGCCGTTGATGATGATGATACATTTTGTCAGTTAGTTTATACTTTCGGCTGACCTCAAAATCGTCTGAAATCCAGGACATCCCAGTATTAAGGCGAGTGGAAATTAAGAGGACGCCCACAGTAAGTATGTAGGTACTTTTCTAGTAGTATTCTATAAATATAACATTTTATGGAATAACACAATTTCTTTATCTCGATATAATTCAATTTTGAACTATAATTTTCATATTTACCTATACCTATATTTTATTTTAGAATTTTGTCTCAATAGGACTTATTGACAGCCTACGTAACAAATATATTACTGTAAAGGGCGTGGGAATATATAGGAAAATTCTGTTTTTAGGAATCGTATACAATATACGTAATAAAACATAATGTTTGTTTATACATACCGTATGACTAATAACGAAATTGTCAGTACCTATCTATTAACTTGGAAACTAAAACTGTATCTAAGCACAATATTTGAATATAGAATCAAATAGATATTTTCAACATAATTTCTTAGATATAGACCTTAGTTCGATATTGTAATTTGGATATATGTGTAATAATAATAACAACATCCCTTGCCACCACGAAATAGTGGTCAAACGTCGGCCCATTGAATATAAAAAAAAATAAAAAAGAGACTATGGCAATGGACTCTAGAATACTCAGTAGTAGCATGGAGTTTGGAATTGTGATTCCATGCTTGGCAGTCGCACGTGAGATCACTTGATCATTGAAACAGTCTGTTTAGTCTATCCTAGTTTAATCAACCCTTTGTTTATTTTAATTATTTTTTTACAGAGTTTGCCCCACTCTATATTTTTTCCTGTGTCATAGGTGCGTTTACACACACATCACATCCAGATCCGAAACAATAAATTGTAGGTGACACAAAGAATTGCTATGTTGAACGGCAGACGGTTGCCTAGCCACTGAACCAACCATGTGTCTTAATACATTATAGATACATATTATTTTTACCCTTAGAACATAATGCAAGAAATTACACAACGCTACTAAACCATCCCACACCACAAGCACATGTAGCCCATCATTTTAATCGACTGATCGATCATCTTCCCAAATGAATCATTGTTGCAAGTATAATTAAAACACGCGGCTCCGTCCGTCTGGCCGTCATCTATCATGTTGTTCGATCGATGACTGAATAATTGTAGACTACACGTGGTGGGAGGAATGATGGTATTGTCATCGGATGAAAGCAGTTATGGAGGATAATTTGTCAATTTTTTGCACGTGTTAGAGATGTTTCATGGTTTCTTTTTAAGCGCTTTTTAGATGTAGGTCTTTTATGATAGTGTCGTATGATAGTGAGTATCTTTTAACTAGTTTTTTTTCGTCTGCTTCGTTAAAGAGATATAAAACCTTTGAATCGAGTTTTGAGATGAACTAAGGGTTGTGTAGTTGGTATATGTGTCTTAATTTTCTGTACTATGACAAAATATGGAATTGTGTATGGCCTATATGGTGTATTTCATTGATAATTAAATTTTCGGCAGAAAATAAAAATAGACTTATAGAGGAGTTTTCTCTGCCTACTCCTTCGGTAAAAAACCTGGTTGTTACTGTGCTCAATACAAATATAAAACTAAACTGATTTTTTACTTTATTCGTGTAACACACTGTGTCTCGGTGTCGTTATGTCTTTTCCTGCCACAGGCCAACAGGAAGAAATTCCAGTTAGAATATGTGGAACCTATGCACTTTGTTTTTATATATCTGTTATCCTTTGTGTTGTATTTGTGTACATAAATAAATTAATAAGTAGATAAACTTAGCCTCATTTTTATTCTCTCAAATACTTCATCATCATCATCATCATAACATCACGCATTTTATCCCCGAATAGGTAGGCCGAGGTGCACATTACGGCACTTAATGCTACTATCAACACCCACTTTTCACTATTTATGTTATGAGTCCCATGTAATAGGGGGTGAGACTATTGCTATATACCGAG